TCAGACGAACGACGTACCAAATTATAACTAAGAGCTCCATTGTGTTCGTCGCAAAAACCGACAAGAAGGAGTACACATATAACGAATTGATCTTGTGGCTCGGCTCGTGCACGGCTCGCGTTGTGCTCGCCATATGTATACGCACCTTAACATCCTCAAAAATCAGGAAAATATACGAGAAGAGTGAAAACTACCCCCAACCCTACATAATTTTTTTTCGTAAAATTGTCCTACATTTTTTGTCTCTTGTAAAAACACGCCACAGGACATATTTTTTGAGGAAAAAAATATTTTTCGGAAGCTGATGACTTCCAAAAAATGTTTTAATCTAATAATCTAGTTGGCAAAATATGGAATTTTATAAGCTTTCGTGCTAAGGATTTTTTGAGCATAATTTCAGTAAACTATAATAGGATCCGTCTAGGATATAGTAGTGTTTATACTGTTTAGTCACATACTCTTTCCTAAGCGGTGTGGTAATTGGTAATTGCTAATTTAATGTGGAAACTGATAGTACCGATTAATTATTGATCTGGTTATTCGTTACTATTTGTTTAGATTATTGTTTTTAAATATTTTAGTTGCCGTCGTGGCGCCCCTCGAATCCGGCGCCCTGGGCGGCCGCCCAATCAAATTTTATGTAACTACCACAAATTATATTTGACAATAAGCTTCATGAGTGACGGACAAACAAAGCACTTTAGTATAAAGGTAAATTGTGTCCAATACTTATTTCGATTCCAAAAATACGTTATAGTTCGTTATATCCACGGAATATGGGGACACCCTGTATAAATTAATATTTCACCTAGCGTCGTCATTATATCGCCCCCTATTATTTTTATATTACCTACTATGGGAAATCAAACTAATTTAAACAGGAATGGAATTTTAAAATATCATTTAACAAACATGCAAAATATAAAATATAAATGTGTTTCTTTTTCTTACGACCAATAATTAGAAACAAACAATTTAGAAAGCAGTATCGAAAGATAGTATTGAACTAATTTTCACATCATATCTGAATAATTTTTACAGTATTTATAAAAAGTAATTAGAAAGATCATGAACATAAATGATGTAAAGGTAAAGAAAAATATCTGAATTAAGAACAGTAAATTTTCACTAACCTAAAATTTGCTAAAACTTATATACAGGGAGGCGCCTCTCATACGAGGCGGAGGCTCTAAGAAGAACGGTAGTTTCCTTGGTATATGTAGGTTAATTGAAAGCATCTTTTAAAAATATAGAGAGTTCTACAGGATGTCCCCAAAAGAAGTTAACATCAAAGTTGTATTTTTTGTAATGGAACACCCTATATATTAATTGATTTTTGGATTCTAGGGGAAAAATAAAGGTGAGTTTCATTACAGAAGTATATGACTAAAATGTAAGGTTTTTGACATATTCAAAATTTTCTAAAAATTAAGAACAAATTTTAAAATTCTATAAAAGCTACCTAAATTGGAATATACTCGGTATAGCCGAATGTATAGTTGAAATAACTATTGTACTTTAATAAAATTAAAACATGATCCAAAAAATTATTAATCTCTTTAATTTTAAATGGAACACCCAGTATATTATTCCGATATTCTATGGAAAATTCATGCCTCTTGAAAATACTAGTAAGACCGTGCACATACGAGTCGTCTCAAAATGTTAAAAATAATGTTTAGGATGCAAATGCAAAGTAGATTTTTGATGAATGCGGAAATTATAATGAAAGAACACAAATAAAATATAAAAAGGTTATAAAAAGAAAGATTCAGTAAATAATAAAATCAGATGAAAAAAATATGAAAAATTCAAAGAAAAGTTTGTTCGTAGTCACTTTTGGTATTACCTAAAAAATAATTTCTAGTAAACAAAAGATATAAGCCGATAATTTTTATCAAGCAAATATAAATCATAAAATTCGATTAACTGTCTGTTTGTAATCTATAAACACAGTTTTTTAAGTTCAATTGCGATGTTCAGTTAAGATAATTTAGTGAGAAAAAATGGACTCTATGGCCCTTGGTTTTGGCCTTATGGGCATCTATATTGTTAGCCAAATTGGTTTTATTATCTACACAGCTCAGTCATATAAGATATTAAAAAAAGAAATACTTAAAAAAGGTAATGTGTTTTGTGTTACTACTTATACCTCATAATAGTATACAAAAAGTATTTTAACTCGTTTAGGTCGACTAGTTTCCTGTATTCCTGTCTTGACAGTAACTACCACGGGCATAATACCAGCCTCAACATTACAGCAGCAAAGTAATGTACCAACTCCATGTAAGTACAATAACATTATACAGGGAATTTCGAAAATAACGTAATTGATGCAGTAAAAAGTACAATTAGGAGAAATATAAAAATGTGGGGCATAATTATTGTCAATAGGGACAACTTTACTAGAATATTTCAATCATTTCAACATCAGTTCTAGGTACCAGTTACCCTAGAAATAGTTGTCATGTTGGATATTTTAAATTGTGAGTCCTCAAGTTATATTTTTTATAAAATAACGACATAATAAAAAAAACAAAATGCCATATAATCGAAAAAATATATCACAGTAACCGTTGTTTTTTAATTTTAAGGTGCCTTATTAAAACTAGGCTGTGTGGCGACACTTCGAAGAACCAATGAGATTTGTAAAAAATCAAACAACTGTCAAATTTAAATTTAGGATAACCCTGAGCACGAGAATGTTTTATTAAAAATTGACATAAACAATAATGTCAAAAATTTATATTTAATTTCGAAAAAAGTTCCAGACACACAAATCTATTTTTAAAAAAATACGTTTTAATAAACTAATTTTGAAAAGTATTAAACGAAATAACTGATTTTTGAAGTTATGTCAATTTTTAATAAATAACAGGAGTCGACAGAAATTAACCTCAGTTATAATTTCAAAGGCAATTATGACGTCATATTTGATCGTCATTTTGTCGTTTGTTTGGTACTTATTTTTACTTTATTCGCTACCAAAATATCATTAATACCTTAATGATGTAAATAATTATATTTTAATAACGATAGATAGAGAATAATATCGGTGATAAATATACAGTATGTCCCCGGATTATCTTTACAGGAGGAAGGACTTTTTTTTAGGAAAAAATTGAACTATATTTTCATGTATTTTTTTAATTTTCTCTAAAACGGTGTGAAAATTTGGAAAAGCATAAACGGGATTAACCATTTTAGGACAAGCAAAATTTTTTATAAAGAATTCATTTTTCTCAGAATGTCAATAATAAAAATGTTTTTCCTTTTGTACAGACAATCTGGTGACATACTGTACAGGGTGGGTCAAATTCGACACTTTTAAATGGAAACACCCTTTTCTATAGGAGATAGACAAAAACTAATATCGGTGTCTGGGGCTCAATTTTTGTCAAAAACATGATGGTGAAAACCGCATATCGATATCTGTTACTGTTTCGGAGTTACGGGGTGGTTTTCAAAAATATGCATTTTTAACAAATCGCTGTAACTTTTTTGCTATAGAAAATTTTGTATTTTTATGAAAACATTTCCAAAGCACATTTTTACGTAGAAATTAATGGTTTAAGTATAATTTTTTTTAAAATTAATAATTTAAGAATTATCAACAGAAAATTTGATTTTTTATATGAGACACCCTGTATATCTTTAATTTATTGAAGAGAATTTAAAATTACCTTTCCAAAAATATAACACACTTGATATTTTGCTCGATTCCTCTTCGAGATATAGAGTATACAAAAATTCGCCCGTTTTAATTAAGTAGGCTTTGAATGGCACCGGCTGTAATGCAAAAAAATTCTAGCTGTGAGCATCAATTAAAACGAAAATAATATTTGCTATGAGAGATGCAGAATTTTATAACAATTTAAAATATATGTATTTAACCAACATCAACACATTTAAACTATATCTGATAACAATAAAAATAAATAGCAAACCAAGACATGAGATTTTGCTGCAGGTGTTCGACCGTCTTCTGTTATATAGACCATCTTCTGTTATGGACAGACGGAGCCGTTTCTGAACATTTCTCGCGGAATTCCTTAACTCAGTGGGAGTGAGAGAATCCCTCTCATAACTGCTAAGTATTTCTAATTCTTGTCTAGATTATACGGAACAATAAGGAACCTTTGTTCTTCCGCAAATATATCCATAGGATTAGATCCATGGGCACTGTCAGGTGGCCTCGACGGCCAAAATTCTGTATTTCGAAGGGGAATACAACAAAATATCAAGTGTGCTATATTTTTGGAAAGGTAATTTTAAATTCTTTTCGGTTAATTAAAAATATAGAGGGTGTCCCAAATAAAAAATCAATTTTTCTGTCGATAACTCTTAAATTATTAATTTTAAAAAAATTATATATTATTATACTTATACCATTAAATTCTACATAAAAAGGTGCTTTGGAAATGTTTTCATAGAAATGCAAAATTTTCCATAGCAAAAAAGTTACAGCTACGGTTTGTTAAAAATGCACATTTTTGAAAAACACCCCGTAACTCCTAAACGGTAACAGATATTGATGTGCGGTTTTCACCATCATGTTTTTGATGAAAATTGAGCTCCAGACAGCGATATTAGTTTTCGTCTATCTGCTATAGAAAAGGGTGTTTCCATTTAAAAGCGTCGAATTTGACCCACCCTGTACATAGAGATATGTTTTATTTTTTATCAATCTATCAATTTTTTTAATAAATATGAATATTATGATATTTTTGATGACGTCCCTAACGCCATCTCCAGCAAAGAATTTGTCAGCATAAATAATAAAAAATATTATTTTACAAAAATAATAATAAGCATTTTTTAATTTACAGATGCAGCATCATCAAACGAACCCGTTTTTATGATCAATGAAAAAGCCATGCCACCACCTTATCAACCATAAAAAAAAATTGTAATTTTTTCAGATTGCAACTAAATGAAAGTTGAGCCTATACTTATTATAAATGCTATTTTATAGAAATTATCTCGCTATTATTTTATACCTGAATAAAATGGACAATGGTAATCATATCATGCTCCCTATTGCCTCTTCCCATTTTCTTAGCCATTTCACATATTTCTTCATAGCTTACAGTGGGCTCTTGACTTTTATTATTCTGTTTATTTTCTTCTGTCTCTGAAGATTTTGAATTTATGAGTTCGTTTAAGTATGCCTGATCAACTTGCTCCATGGCTTCTTGCAAATCATTTCTAAATCCCTATAATAATGAAAATATTAATGAAACTTCATTAATATTAATACTGATACCACACAAGATTACTAATAAATTTAATATTAATTAATAAATACCCTATTAACTTCTGGCTCGAGTAGTTCACTTTTACGAAGTCTTTTAAAAGCATCGGTATCTGATTCTCCAAATAATAAAATTGGTTCTCCTCTATCCCTAAGCTTGGTAATGACCTCATGTCTTGGAAGAATATTATGTTTAACATCAGTATCAGATTTGTCACCTAAATAATTTTATATTATCATATTAACATAATTGCTGTAAAAACAGTAAATACATATAAAAGAAATAGAGACTGTTTTGTTTTTTATAGGAATAAAAAAACTATATATTCACAGACAAAATATATAGGTATTTTATTAAGTCTATCCTTTAATCAAAAAATACCTTTTTCGACTTCAGTAGAGTTTGTGAAAATATCTGGGTTTGGATTATATTTGCTCTTATATTTTTCGAGTTCCTTAGCTGTAAGTTCTCCTCTTCGAAAATACTTCTTTTGCGGTTTCTAGAAATATGTCGTATGTAGTCAAATCAATTTCAATCGAGATTTAAATATAAACTTATTGGATAAGCAAGATATTACCAATAAATCTTTATCTTCCAACTCCTTCCGTTTTCGTTCTATTTCAGCTTTTAGAATATCCATACTTAAAAAATTATTAAATAAACATAATTAATTACTTAAATAACTTCTAATAATGATAAATTTTATAGAAAATCATACAAGACCAAACAGATTATAGTAAACCAATAATAAACAAAACAAAGTTAGTGACTATGGTAGTGAAGTAAATAAAAATTTAACCTAAATTTGTGAGTAGAATCAGCTGTCCATAGCTGTTCCTAACATATTGGTTTCTAAGCATACTTTAAATTTTGAAATATGATTTTGGTTGTATCATATACATATTATATTTGTGGGTTTTATCATTGTTAATCTAAGGTTTTATCCAGAGATTATGGCCAGAGATATAGAATATCTGATATCTGGTCATATATAAAAATAAGTAAGAGGATTGGGCTATTAAATTTGAACTAAATAAGGCTATGAAAGAAATAAAAATAAGAAATCAAGGAAGAAAATAACTTAATTAAAAATATGATACCTTTTTTAATCCGATTATTAAAACTTAATTTGGGTCCGTTTCACTTTAGGGCTGTCAAAATTAACAAATTTTCTATAAAATAAAGTGGATATTCTGCCTTTTTAGACTAAAATAAAGAACTTGAGGTGAGGAAAAATGCGATTTTTTGTAAAATAAGCGAGAAAAATTTTCTAACCTCAAAAATATTTTCATAGCTTTTCGTGCAATAGTTTTTAAGAAAATCAATGAATATATAAAATATATATAAAATACCAAAAAACACCAGAGACTAACCAACGCGATCAAAATACGCCTACGGCGTATTTTGATCGCCGTTACCAACAACTCTAAATAAATAAAAAATGTACAAGGGTAGCGTAAATTTAAAAGCGTCCATGTTCCCGGTATGAGCATGCGCGTTAGAGCAACAAGACGCCATCCGTCAATCGGAACGTAAATATCGAACACCTGACATTACTGCGCCGCCTCCGCGTCAAAAATAGTACCCATTTCAGCCCATTTGTGTTATTTATTTTACAAAAACTGTTTTAAGAAATCGAATATTCCTCACCTAGTTCTTTCACAAATGTCTTTTACTTTGTTTTGGTAGCAACATTTTTATTTTAAATGCAATCCTCGCGACAGCCCTAAAGTGAATCGTCACCCTTAATTTTATCCTATTTTATGTACCTATAATCATTTACTTAGTTTTGTTCTACATGATTTTTTTAAAATATAGTAATATAGTAATATTTAATAAAACGTCTATAACTTATGAACATATATTATAGATAATAGTATAAAAATATAAATTTTAAAATGATAGCATTAAGCTACACCAGGTAAAGTTAACAAGGTGGCAATTTTCTTGTCCTGTTTATTTCTCTGTTCCAATGGCACTGTTAAAATCCTTTGCATATTAACAACCAAATCGAGTAAATGTATAAAATCTGCCCGACTACATGAACTCCTGAAACTTACTTCAGCAAGGTAATTACCTATTTCTGCTTTAGCCATATTATCAATATCTGATGTAATAAGTAAATCATTCAATTGTTCAAAAATCTTTTGAGTAGGATATGCTTGCATTTCTAAACCTTTAATAAATTTAGTAAGTTCTGACACATTGGTCTTTTTCCTACACATTTTAAGTAAATCAGTTATCCATTTCTCTGGAATAACTGATAGTACTTCATATACAATATCCAAAGTTATGTGTGAATCTTTGCCTTTAAGATTAGAACAACTCTGCAATGCTGTGATAGCTCTTCTCATATCTCCACCACTTTCTTTCACTAATACTTTCAAAATCTCATCAGTGACAGTAACATCTTCCTCTTTACAGATATAATTTAAACGTTCAAATATAAATTCCTCATTTAGTGGTTTAAATCTAAATTTTGAACATCTAGAAGTTAGCGGTTCAATAATTTTAGACACGTAATTGCAGAGAAGGCAAAATCTGGTAGTCTTGGCTTCTTTTTCCATTACTCTTCTTAAAGCTGTTTGAGCAGCACTAGTCATAGCATCTGCTTCATCTAGTATGACAATCTTAAGTGGTGGACACTTTTTCCCATCTGGTCTAGTACTATTTACAGTCAACTGTGAAAAATGTTTAATTTTATCTCTAATTATCTGAATACCTCTTTCATCTGATGCATTTAATTCAAGAATTCTTTCTCTATATAAGTCTCCAAAAAGTTGCTGTGCTGCTGCTAAGATAGTGCTAGTTTTACCAGTACCAGGTGGTCCATAAAAAAGTAAATTGGGTAAATCGGCTCCTGTTATACACTCCTTTAAAACTGCAACAACCTCTGTTTGTTCCACCACATTTTCTACAGTTTTTGGTCTGTACTTTTCTACCCATTGTAATTTTTTCGTTTTCTTTTTATTATTAACGCCTGAAGCTTTGCTAGATGAAGGTTGTTCCCCCAACTTTCCAGACTTTAGAAACGACTGCATCCTATTTTTCAGATGTGTTTAGTGTTTCACAAATAATAAATCGGCAAGTACATACGATAAATGGCGAATATCATAGACATAAGATATATAAAGGCGAATATTAATTGTTATTTAGAACTAACTAATCAACTAAAGTGAACTACACGTGAACTAAAACCTTAGACTAAAACACAGCTTGAGCTTGAAATTTTCTTCAAAAGATTATTCGCGCTTTCGCGCTTTTTTCATTTTTAGTATGACGTATGACATTAGTTGGACAGTGTCGCCAATAGCCTATAAAAAAAGCCAGCTAGAAAAACTATCCGGTCATTAGCCTCATATTAGCCTACCAACTCTGTTTATCGCCAGAATATGCTCATCCCTAGATCATATAAACTTATATGATTCCCTAATTATCAACCACAGAACTGAGCTTTAAGTAATTAGCTGGAAATCAGCTGGAAATGACATTTTTAAATAACAAATGGAGACATGAAATGACCTCCATTTTATAAGTTTCGTTTTTTTATAACCACAGCAAAAAATTATCGTCTGAAATGGTGTTTTAAGTTGGCCGTGTAAGATTATTAATCGTCATTGTCAAAAGTGTTAAATTGCATTTTGTGCCAGACAGTTGCATTTATTATCATTGTAGAAGTCAAAATATGAGTACCGCAAATCCGTCTTACAAAGTGAGTACCAAAGTTATTTTTTGTTTACATATACAAAAGTCTGTTCTTATAACATCATTTTAGCCGTCCGAAGGGAAACGTGAAGAGTTCAGGAAATATTTAGAAAAGAATGGTGTAATGGATGCATTAACAAAAGTATTAGTCAATCTATATGAAGAGATTGATAAGCCAGATGATGCACTAGAGTATCCTTTTATTTCTTTTTTGGAATGATTAAATTAAAATACTAATTACAAAGATCGCAATTATTTTTATATGTATAAATTATTGAATATGATTAACTGAATTTTACAATTTAGCAGAAATGGGATTGGATATGTACGATAATTATATATTTTAATTTTGGATTATAATTTTTATTTTCTATATATTAGAGGCAAATCTTTATAATTGTTTTCTATTATGACTTCATATATTGATGTTTCATTTTATAGCCTTAATATGATACTAGGTATATTCGTGACAAACTGGCAGTTATAGCTGGTATAGAAACATATAAACAGATTCAAACTAAGTTAATGGAGGCTGAAGAAAAGATAAAAGAGTTGGAAGGGCAAATACAACCTGGTGGAGCTGCTGAGGAAGGTGTGCCTCTTGAGGGAGGTAAGTAGTTATTAAGATAGTGTATGTAACCACAAAGCTATCTCACAGTTTTATTTCATGGTGTAATATAAATACATTTTTTAGAAGGCAGTGCTACACATCAGCCATCTGATGAACCAGCACAAGTGGAAGGCACCAGTGAGAAAGTTCCTGATGAAAATGAACCTGTTGTACAAGAGGAAAATCAAGAAGATCAATAATTTCTTCTAGTTAAATCTATTATTTTTTGTTTTGATTATAGCTTTTTTTAAGTCTTTTTGGTGATACTTTTTATACTACTAAGTTAATTTATATTGATGGATAATTAATTAAAAGTACTTACATTCTACAGTAGAAATTTTTGTGATTTTTAAATAATTGACATTGTGCAATGGAGTCAAGAACTCTACAAATCTTACTTTGTCACAGCTTCCATAGATACAACATACCTTATATGTTAAATATACTAAAAAATATTCCAAAAATCTAAATTAGCTTATTCTAAATTGTATTTGAACTATTCAATTTCCAAACAAATTTACAGTATTTTTATTATAATATAGTTATAATTGTTTCTTTTCTTAGGGTACAAAGTACCTATATCACTTTATATTATCCTCCTTTCTGGATATATAAATGAGTTTTAAATAAGGATACATATAAAAGACATTCATTTCAAGAGTTTTCATTATTTATTTTTATATAATGTGATCAAATAATTTTAGTTAATGTTATTTAGCACATTTATTAATTGAAATCTGTATACTAAAAAAAATGTACTTTAAACTTGCCTTAATAAAGTAAGATTAAATGTATTATTGTTTCTCCAAAAATATCAAAATATTCTTATGGAATTATTCCTTTTATTTGTTAGTTCTTATGTAGTTTATAAATATATAATAGGTAGTGTACAATCTTTTTTATTTTTATACCTAATATATTAAGAAAATGTTACTTTAGCTATAATTTATTCTGTAAAAGAAGCTTACCAAATACTAAGAAACATACTTTTAACAAAAATGAGAAACTTTAAAGCAATGCTTATTTAAATTTATTTTGCTGCTGCATTTGCAGCTTGACGTCTTTTTACATCCCAGTTAAATACTCTAGCCATATTGACCTCAGTAGTAGTAAATTGGTCCCTGAAAAAAATATTGTGATTAAATTTACATTTTTTGTTGAATATCCTATGAAGAATAGCAAATATATTTACTACTTACCTTAAAAAATCTAAATCATGATCAACATATCCTAAATTTTTTTCAGCAGCAGAAATATTTTGTGTTAAAAGTTTCTTTGCATCTTCTAAGCTATATTCTAACATAACATTAGCTCCAAGCCATAAACATACAGTATCTGTAGGAGGTACTTTAGCTTTTGCAAATGCTTGATCGCTTAAAAGAAATTGAGTTTCAAATTCTTCTTTTTGATTTTCTAATTTTTCGATCATAGTAAGTGAACGTTTTAACTCTGGAACTTGATTTTGTAGCCTCTTTTTCTTCGACAGTAGATTGTACTCCATGAATTTATATTTTGCATGTTGAGCATCTAGTTTCTTCAAGACTTCATCAACAGCACTGTTGTTCTCTGGGCGTTTCATGTAAGAGTCAACATCATCCTAATAAGAACAATTATTCTATTAAATGACATCAATTTTTAATAATAAAAAACTAGGTGGTACCCATTACCAAAAATAAAATATTTACTTACAACAAATTCAGCTTCTGGTATTCCAGCATATGACTTTTTATCTCCTAATTCAATTGCACCCTTTTCCCCATTCATATTTTATTAATATAAATGAATATTTCAATAAATATAAAAATGTGGTATTAACTTTGCCTCTACCAGCAATTTCAAAATAATTGTAATTTAAATAGCAGATTGATCTTAAGAAAACAAAAACGTCAATATTATGATATTTATAAATTGGAAAGAAAGTAATACCTTTATGTACATACGGTAAGTTTTTATTTCTATAGATTTTATTTTTTTCTTCTACATAAAAGGAAACAAATAAAATCCTTTGCTTTAAATCCTAGCCATCTACCTGTAAAGAAACAAACTATTTTTTGGATAACCCATTGAATAAATAAAACTTGTTGTTGACAGTAATATGATAAAAATTATATATATTGTAAATAAATATAAAAAATATAGGTATATTATTGACAGTAATATACTTATAATTTTTGTTTTAATTCTTTGATAAAAGCAGCTACCCTTAAACTTAATATAAACGTAAAATTAGTTTGTTGTAAAAAAAACTATAAAAAAACATTTAATATTTTATATATGATAAAACCCAGATGATATAACATACCTTATTACCACAGAATCAGGTTCTTAATTAGTTGACACGACGACAAAATTTTGACGTAAGTCAAAACGTCACATTCGGAGTTCTTTTTTAGCCCATCTTTTGTGGATTGCACGTGGTTAAATAATATTTAAAGTAAGAAATTATAGTTTTTTGTGTATAATTACTGCTCAAATCCATGAATAAGTTTTTATTGTACTTACAGCTATTAACAAAATTACATATATATGGGATAAAGCGATTTAATGACCTATCTTTTTAGAGAATGGCAGCAACTAAGAAACAAAAGAAAGCCATCGAGAGCATTAACAGCCGTTTGGCTCTAGTAATGAAGTCTGGAAAATATTGTCTAGGATATAAGCAGACATTAAAGGTAAAGGTCCTTGATAAATGTAGAAATTGTAGATAAAATATCGTTCGGCAGGTACATCTATTGATCACTATATACTAATTATTGTGGTATAACTTGCAGCCTATAATATTCCCAGTATAGTTTTCATATTTTAAATAGTGACTAGTTTAATGAACCGTTCCAGAAGTGTAAGATTTAATGAAATTCCAAATTTGCTCAAACTAAATTCTTTGCTGTGAAAACAGATTAACAATTATTATTATGGGAAACTAGATTTTGCCTGCAATTATGTCTATCTTGGTTCTCGGGGCCCAATATTGTTGTAAATTAATATTTCATGGTTGTAAAAACCAAACCAAACCAGATATAACAAATCTTCATATAATGTTTAATCCCCAATGGATAAAAGTTTTGAATTGCCCAATACAGTCAAATAAAGTGAATTTAATTCTTCATGTTTCTACTAGACTAGTCTAGAAACTTTCTAGACTCAAATGTAAGGAAATGTATAATTTTTCAACTTGTTTTTTACCTTGGAGAGATGAGATGTTGTGCTTCTTTCTGTTACTCCAAGAATCATTGTGTAAAATTTAACATTTCTAGACCAGCCCAAGTCTATCTAACTAATGGCATTTAAAATAACCTTATGCTAGTTGGTTGTTTTGAAGTTGTATAAATCTTCGTGCATATTATCATTTGCACTGCAATATCTGCTACATATATGCAATTTGATCACTTTTTAGATATGTGTTTAATTTTTGAATTTTGCAATTTAATATTCTGCTAGAGGGGTTTATAGATAAAAAAATGTATACTTTAGTATATATTTTTTCTACTGTGAAGTCCAATACGGCCACAATTCCTCTATTAGGGTACCTATACATTATTTTGACATTTAAATATTTTATTTATAATATTTTATTTTACTTGTAATAATTTATATTTATAATTTAGAAGGCACCACAAAATAGCAGATTGATTTATAAAGTCCGACAATCTGTTAACTCGATCTTAACCTAACTTTTTATTTTAAGTTAATTAATATTTATTTATTTATATTTTTTTAAAAATACAGTATCTCTATTGACATCATAATGTATTCGAAATGTCAAAATACCCCATGGTTCTATATGTAAACAGTGATATGTGGTAACATTATTAGCACACAAGCTTATTATGACACTTTAACTATCATACTGTCAAAGCAGTGTTCCCAACTCTCAAAAATTTATCTCCCTAAAAATCTAAAACGCTGGCATCAAAAATCCCCAAAATATCCCTAAAAACTAAAAAAAATATCCCGAAAAAAAAAATATAAATAATAATAAATAAACAATTTTTTGTGTTCTTAGTGGTTGACCTTGAAACGTCTGATCACAGCAATGTAGCCAACTGTTCAAAACTTTCCATTAAAGCAATATCAAACCTTCTTAAATCCAAACAACTAAAATCCCCACAACTGTTATCCAAGATTCGGTGATTAAAACAAATAAATTATTTTGTTTTATTTATACTTTCCTATTAATTTTCAAAAATAGCAGTAGCGGTCTTATCTCCTCTTTGGTATCGGTAAAATTCCATTGAAATTTTATCCCTAAAAATATCCCCAAAAAATTTTACTCCCTAAAAAAATCCCCATGTAGATTTTTTCTCCCCAATAGGGATAAAATCCCGGAGTTGGTAACACTGGTCAAAGTTGTCAATAATCCTTAAGTTTCCCTTAATGCCACATATTGTTACCATATCTCTAGACTAGACTGCTTAGGTTTTATTATTCATTAAATTGCTTCTGTTAAATGTTTTATGACGTAGAAATAATATCTGCTTTGTAAAAATGTAACTCATAGAAAGTTTGTATGTAGATACCAAGTAGACTTGAGGGGTTGTGTATCAAAACTCATCCATTTTTGGCCATTTTGATATGACAAGTTTTGTTATCAAAATAATATTAGTTTTGAATAAACACACATGTAAATTATACATGATAGAATGAATTACGCCGCCAAAATTAGACTGAATATTGTGCAGAGCGGCTAATTCTATAGTATATTTTTACTCAAGAATAGCCAAAAATGGATGTGGAGTTTTTACTCTCAACGCCTGACTTCTAAATTTAGTTGTAATTCTTTACCTTAATTATTTTATTAATTTTTTTACTGGATATGCTTCATAATCAAAATATTTGTTACAGACTTTGAGACAAGGAAAAGCTAAGCTTATTATCATATCCAACAACACTCCTTCACTAAGGAAATCGGAAATTGAATATTATGCCATGTTGGCCAAAACGGGCGTACACCATTATACTGGCAACAATGTAGAATTAGGTACAGCATGCGGAAAATATTTCCGAGTCTGTGCTATGTCCATTACAGATCCAGGCGATTCTGATATAATCAGATCGATGCCCTCAGGTGATGGCGGCGCTCCTCAATAAATTTAAGTTTTTTTTTAATTTTATGACCTAAATAAAGTACTTTATAAATTATTTTTTTTTCTTTAAATAAAACAATCCCATTAAAAATTATTTTATTTACATACGCCAGTATGTACATACCAATTTGCATGTAGACGATTACATATAATTTAACCTTACCATAAAGATCTACCTCTACAATTAAAAGGATGTGCGAACATCAGCCATAAGTCAGTAGACTTAAGAGTTAAAATTGAAAAATTTTAATATTGGATAAAAAATACATTTTTACATCATAATTTACAAGATATTCATTGTATTTAACTCTACCCACTAATTTTACTAAAATTAAAAACTGTAATTACAAAGACATTAAAAATTGATATAATTTACAGTTAATAGTAATTTAAATTACTTGAACATTTTCAAAAATTTAGGTTTCAAACTAAACAACTATATAAAAATATACTTAAAATTTCTGGAAAAAGTGTGATTATTCTTATATAATTTAGAAACTAAACTGTGTAACACAAAACCTAAATTGAATTAATCAGATTGGCATTTCTAGACTCGATTCGCGAGTCTGAAATGATAGTAGCAAGAAGTTATAATAACCAATTATTGATTGTATATTCATCGGGATAGAGAAAGACTCCTATCGCGGCGTGCGTCTCCACTGGCTCCATGATCGCCCAGCCGTTGGTGAGCAGGTATCTTGTCGAAGAACGGATGATTCATAGCTTCTTTTAAAGTGATTCTTTCAGAAGGCTCGTATTCTAGCATTTTGAAGATCAGGTCAAATAAATAGTTGTGATCTGGGTCGTCAGACTGCTTGTATCGCTGAAATTAAAGAACAAATTAGTAAATATAATATTCAATTGTATCTACATACAAACTTTCTATGAGTTACATTTATACAGGGTGGCGCACCTCATTCGCCTCGGTTGATTATATGAAAACGGAAAGATGTAGAAACAAAATATTGTATGGATATATGTGGGGAGGCAATGTGTACAATTTAAAATTATTTTGAAATATACAAGGTGTCTCAAAACTAAGATCCATACCAAACTTATATTTTTTCTTATGAAACACACACACCCGGTATTTTATTTCATTTTTGGATTGGTTTGGTTGTAAAAAAACGGAATTTATTATTAGGGTTAAATACAGTGACATGTGGTAACTGTCACTGTATTTAACCCTAGAGAGAAATCGTTGACGTTCTCATTTCTTGTAGATGTATCTGTTTTAAAAAGTAAAGTGTTCTCGAATAATTCAATTTAAATATTTTAAATAGTTTTTTTCTTGATTCTTTGTATTTATTTTTTTTTTGCTTCCGACGACGGAAAGAGAAAATTTTCCGAAACGTTAAGCATTTTTTTCTTTGTTAGGCAAATTTTTATTACTGTAAACACAACTTCTGACAAGCAGCGTCCGTTTAGGTCTAACGCAGAAGTGTTTACAAAAAATAACTATTTTATTTTGTAGATTTTTCTTGTAGTGCAGTGGCGAAATACCCATAAAGGATTTTTTTGGATAGATGAATCCGCCACATAGGTATAGACATTTTTTATCAATTCTTTTGTAGCACGCATATTTAAATCCATCTTTAAATATCTCAAAAACCAAAAATTTTAAACATATTTAACCCTTATAATAAATGCCCGTTTTGGGGCCCAATAATCCAAAAATTAAATAAAATACCGGGTATTCCATAAGAAAAAATATATATAACTTTGGCATGAATCTTAGTTCTGACGCACCCTGTACCTTTAAAAATAATTTTAAATTATGCCCATTACCTTCCCACATATACCCATAAAATATTTTGTTTCTACATCTTTCCGTTTTCGTATAATCAACCGAGGCGAATGAGGTGCGTCACCCTGTATATTCATATACCGATTTGGTCATCGAAACTGTGCGGTCTGGATTTTAACGTGTAAGACAGTGATGTAGACAGCTTAATGGAAGATCAAATGTATTAAAAAGAGATAAAAATTGTGTCGACACATTTCTTCTATGTGGTATTGCCGGATTTTGCATCAAAATTTCAAACCGCATAAGTAGACATTTACGAAAAATGTTGCATCTAGGGTTGGAACTTTATTTTTCACTATAACTCGTTTTACAACAGCTGTAATAGATTATCTATTAATGTGTAATAAATTATCTAATTTTATTTAAAATCTACATACATATATAAAATGCTAATGTTTATCTGTGTGTCGTCTCTAGTGAAGTAACGACTTGCTCTAGAAAGTTGCTTTTTTTACTAAAAGATAGCTAATTGGCTCTTCTACAAACTGTCGTCGCCGGATTTTTTGTTTTCATTTAATTAAACAAAAAATATACAGTATTTTTTACCTGTTGTCGCATATCGTGGCGAATGCGCCAGGCTTCAACTAGTAGCTTATATTTTTTTACACACATTTTCCTACAAACGTAAAAACCCGGCAACACCATATGCCGGTTTTGATTTTGTCTCTCTGTCTGTCAAGCGGTCATTTATATTATTCTCTGTCACACATTAAAATGCAGACCACATAAATTGGATGACCACCATAGAGGCGGAATGGACCCCATGACTCCCCATTTTTTACTGTTTTCATTACTGTGTCAATTATCATATTTGAATTTGACTTTTTTTGCGGATTTATTGGGCTAAGTTTATTCTAAGCTTATTTTATGGTATTTATTATTTATTCTACAAGTGAATTTGATAGGGTAGTAATTTAGAAAGATACTGTGTCTTAATTAACAGTGACATTGGGCATTCCAGAAAAAAGGTATAAAATAATTTTGCAACGTCAGGTAGAGCTCGGTCAAAAATTGAGAGAAATATGAGAATAACTTATCACTTCTAAATAACTATACAGGGTGAGTCTTAAATAATTGCAAATATTTTCAGAGCTAGTAGATCTCAATAAAAGAAACAAATTTTCTCTTTACTCGTTTTTCAAATAAGTCCAAAATAACCGAGATATTTTATTTCGAAAATTAAAAAAAAAGAATGTTTCACTTAAATCTTGATAACTACTTGATCTTTTCTAGGTTTACTTACTAAAAATTTAAAAAAAAATCCAAAAGCCCAGATTTTTAAAAAAAAATCGCGGAAAACTCATGACATGTTTCTGGGGTCGAAATATACTAGCCCTAAAAATATTTGCACTTATTTAAGAGCCACCTTGGATAATATAACATACTACATGTGCGTCAATCAATTCACTTGGAATGAGGTAATTATATACAGTAGATTCGATTATCCTAGCGTCGGCTGTACCCTAGTTTGGATAATTGGCGACTCGAATAATCAGGATGTTTTAAATTTTGGTCTCTGTATATTTTTTAACATGTATTGCACGTATATGTAATACGCTGCAAAGTAAAGTTCTATAGTTATTCTTTAAGTTAAAGTATATTTGTTCTAGATAAAACTAATTTTTAAAATTAATCCTGCTTCCCGATGATGCGTTACAATACAATATCCTCAAGAAATCTTGACAGTGGAAGTTCGCGATAAGATTTAGGTTATGAAGAATGAACATTGTTTTTTATTGTAGAGAGCTGAAGAAACTTCCCAAGCTCCATTTGAGAGGTGGTAAATTTATGCTTTTCATACTTTGCAATTTAATTACAGAAAAAGAAAAAATAATAAAAAACACTAAATAGAATAGAAAAAATAGAATGTTACAATATGTATATTCTGTTTAAACTTACCAATAAAGGTTTGCAATTATCCCTCACATATCGTCCAGCAGAGCTTTTTTCATCCCAGTCTAATTTTCCCTTGTAAAAATATTTGGTTTTAGTCTTTCTTGCCATTCTGTAAAAAAATAAATAGGTATATTAAAAATTACTACTTTATTTTGAAACATTAACAAGAATGAAATGTAAACATCTGTGCCTTGGTACAGTTCAGGGATGGGTTAAATATTGTTACTATTTTTTAATAATTTGCACTAGAGTTAAGTTTAATAGCGAACCGTTGGTTCTAAAGACGAATTTGGAATAAAGATTTGGGGTGGTGTAGTGTAGAGTAGGTTATAGTAGGTGTTAACTATGGCATAAACACTGCACAGTGCAATTCAAAAACAACAGAGTGTCATTTGTCTCAAAACCCTAACAAATAATTAACATACAAAAAATATAAATATTTTATTTACAGTTAAACTTGGGTTAAAATAATGGCAAATATTAAACTGCTTTTTATAGATGTTGATTTGATGATCAACATCAATGATCAAAATAAAATATATTTTGCCAGAGACACTTGCGCTCAAAATTTGTAATAAAGGTTTGGACATGATGAATCGTGAAAACGTTCTACCAATCAAAAAAAAGAACCACCCGTGTTGTACAAAATGAGTATAACATATAGTAGTATATCATATCTCTTTCTACAAACTGATGATAACTGAACATAACCTTACATAAGTGTATTTGATTAAATTACTTAAATATTAAAGAAATAACTTTAACTATGACCTCGAAATTGGTTGGCTGACAACCAATCGGTAGACAACTGACCTTTAAAGCATTGTTGATCTGTCAACCATAACCAACGGTTGTTCGCTCGAAATTGGCTTATGGTTATTTGCTTTGGTTTGTCAATTTTTTCCAAAAAATAAAATGTGACTAAAATGATACACTTTATTTGATATTTAGTTATTTTTTAAATACATATTATCGAATATAAATTATCCGCACAAATTAGAAAATATAGATAAACCCGCCGTAAACAAACAAATGGTTGCCTAGCAATTATGCGTTAGTTAAAAATCTTGCTTGGGTCAGTATCTGACCCACGGGTCATAGGTGCGTCATCGCTGGTCTATTTCGTGGTTATCACGTTCATCATCATCCTGATTTTATTTCATGATCTTTTTTATATCCCTTGTAGAATTTAAATTCTTAGTATTAAAATAATTTGTACAAAAATAAAGGTCACTGTGTATGCTCAAAATATGATTATCGTATATTTATTCTCTGGGTTACAATGATGAATATTCAAAAATGTCTTAAACTTACCGTCCAGGTATTTCTCCCAATATACGTTGCATCATAGCCAAATGTTCTCTATTGTCGTGAGTTTGAAATACTGTAATACCAAGGTAGAGTTCAAACAGTATACAACCAATTGACCAGACATCACATGGTTGAGCCCATCCTAATTCTAAAATTAAATAAAGTTTTACACACTAAAAAATTTTTTAAAATGTGTTTCATTTTGAGCAAGAATTTCTTTGAATATACATTTTTTTAATGTTTTGTGAAGTTGCAGTAGAAAGTAAATAACTGATTGTTTTTTTAACTGAAACTAGCAATCATTATTTTATTAGTCATTTTTACTCACCTAATATTACTTCTGGTGCTCTATAGTGTCTCGTTGAAACAATAGTACTGTGATGTTCATGATCAAATGTTGCACTGCCAAAATCTATTAGCTTAACGTCAGTCCTTTTCACCCGTTTGATTTCTCGACGCTAAAATAAGTTATAGCATAAACTGTAATATGTGGTAATATTATCGCAAATACTAATGTAATCACAATAAAAATACACAAAACTTAAGTCAACTTAGTAATTTTTGTTTGAACGGTTTACTGTCATATTAGGAAATGTGACAATTGTATAAATATAGCTGAACGTTCCTTACCTTTGATTCCCTCTTTGAATTGTGCACCAATTCATAATCAGAATCGACGAAAAGTATATTTTCTGGCTTCAAATCGGTATGCGTCAGTTTGTTATCATGTAGGAATTTAACTGAGTAGCATAACTGATAGCTGATGTGCCTTACTTGATCCAACGGATAGGGCTGGTAGTTGTTATCCTTCTAAGTTAAAAATAAAAACAAAAAAAAAGAAAAAAAAACTAAATTAATTCTAACGATAAACGGCCTATACATTACTCGCAGAGTAAGCCGAAGTAGGTCAAGGTCGAATAGTAAAGACGGTTACTTCGTGTTTCCTGGTCTAACTTTGTCTCCTCTCGGTTTATTTTCATTAGTCGAGAAAACATGAAATAACCCTTTTCATTATTCGATTTTGACCTACTTCGGCGTACTTCGCGAGTAGTGTAGAGGCGGTTTTAAATAACATTAAACCTTATATATAAATTGCAGAGCAAAAAATTATACAAATTAACGCTTGTATTAATGGCTTACCAAAAAATCGAAGACACTCAACCCTAGCATCTCAAAAGCGATACACATATGGCCGTTGTAATCAAACCAGTCCAACATTTTGACACATAAACTGGAAAAATAAATATATTATGTTAAAATACATACATATAAGTGGTATGTGATCGAAAAGAAACATCGTTACAATAAATGTAGAAATAAAATTCAAGCTTTACAATGTCTATTTTCCAATTCTTCAGTGACACATGATCGAGTATTATTTGAAGTTACTTTACAACTGTTATTTAGAAATAACATTTAACAGCTGTTGTTACATGTAGAAAAAAAAGGTGTGAAAATAACAATACACTAACAGTTCGTGCTTGCAAATTTTACAAAGTTCACAACAACTGTTACTTCCATAAACAACAAATATGAAAATAACAGTGTATTGACAGCAATGGTCTGCGATGTAAAGCAGAGGTCGCCGCGTCACTATATTTTACTAGGCTCGCAACAGTTGGTATTTTTAAAAACTAACAGATATGAAAATCAAAGTGCCGATACAGTACACCTAACAAATTCTTTGCATTGCCAATGAACATCGAACGATAGATTAGGTCACAATGATAATGATTATATTCATAAATAAAAAAAAATCATATTGTCAATGTCAAGCTATCCTCGTTTCATGATGAGGTATAGACTGTATTATGAGTTATAACTCAGGAAAGGGGGCACAATAGATCGTTAGGTCGCGGTGTGTTTATGTTCAGTTTACCCCGTCCCACTAGGGATGTTCGGTCCTAAGATTTCACTAGCGGTATCCGGTACCACGAAGTACCGGTATACCGGTTTACCGGCTACATGTACTGGTATACCGGCTACAACCGGTATACCGGTTCCAACAACTAAATCGGTGGAACCGATATACCAGCTGGACCGGAAGACCGGATGGTCAGACAGACCGGTTGGACCGGAAGACCAAACCGGAATATCGGAAAGACAGAAATAACAGTTTTGATTAAAAAAAAATTTAAATAGAAATAATAGAAAGTTCTCGTGCCTCTAACGTTAAGTAAATACGGTAACGTAATAAATACGGTATTTTGCGGGATAAATTTGATTTCTCGGAATATATCGTAAATCTATCCGTTACCGTTATAACGTTATTGATCTAACTTAAGATTCTCATTGTTTATGTTCACATTTCCGGCATATTCTTGATTTCTTGTCAACATTCTCTTTACTTATGAAAAATGGAAAAAGCACTGAAAGCTGCTGTTCTTGGAGATATAAATGGAGCGGGGAAATAAGGTGCTATTTTACATATTTTAAATAATAGAGCAGATGCTATTGAATATCGGCCTGAGTTTTACGGACCTATATAATATGCATGAGTGATCCATGAGTAAGATGCTTTACTTGAATTTTAGATGTACTAAAAAAAGAAGACTAGATAAGTACTAGACCAAACTAGACTAGCAATAATAATATACATCAAAATAAATTACATTGCATGCCCCTGACCGTATTATGATCGAAAAAAAAACGGCGTCCAGGCTTGTAAATAAACATCGATTAAATTCCCCATATAATTTTACATATAATATGTCAGCGATCTTCATTTCATAGCCATCACTGATGCAGTTTGTTTTCGATCATAGGGTACCTAGAGTAGGAGAACACAATCAGCTTTGCACAAAAACCTGTACCGAAAATTTTTATACAGTTTTTTTGATTTTCATATTATCATGAACCTATTTTTCTGTACCGATTGAAACCGGTCTTCCGGCATAGATTGAAACCGGTCTTTCGGGACCGATTTAAACCGGTCTTCCGTTACCGGTACCGAAACCGGTATACCGGTCTTGTAAAAGACGATACCGATACCGGAATATTTCAAAAGTACCGGTCTTGGCACCGGTATACCGGAAGACCGAACATGCCTACCGCCCACTCATTCTACATTCTTCTACATCCCCGTTTCCTTATGATATTTTGACTTTTTAAAAATAAAACCGATAAATATCAGAAACCTGTTACCTTCAGCTATTATTTTATGATAAATGTAACAGGCCCAACAGTTATTTAGAAAAATAACAGTTCTGCCGAGCTTGGGTTACTGGTTTTATCATCAAAAAAAATATTATTACTCCCGGTCCTTTCAAAAAGTCTTCAAATCACTCACTAACAACTGTCACTGTCAAGAAGCTACAGACAATAGACATATAAACACTCCAAACTGAAATGGTTCTTCTAGGCCTACTGTGACGGCATTTTAATTCGACTTCATGGAATGGTTAAGATTAGAAACGACAGTTTTTGTGAAAATAAAATTTTACTTACTGTACACTATCTGGATCTTTGTCAGCTAATTTCTCTAAAACGTTGATTTCCAGTTTAGCTGCCTCTCTATATTTTTCGACATTCTTTATTATCTTCAATGCCATGGAATGATCCCTAAAGAAAAATTATTATTAGCAAAGGTTGCAAAAAATACTTGAATTTAGAATAAAAGTTAACCTAACTTTTTGACTTTACATTTTATGTTTAGTTTCTGAATTTTAATTATTTAGTTCCAACATTGAACTGAGTTATTTCATTTATGAAAATTAATATGATTATAAAATTTTAGTTCAAATGACAAAAACATAGTTTTGTTTTAAAAATAACCTCTTTTTCATAGATTACAGTTGAGGGTTGGAACCTTTGGTGTTACACAGCAAAATAAAACACTAAATCACCACAATACACCAAAACACTTTTACTTTTATACTGGACGCGCGTTTCGCTAACCATGTTAGCATCATCAGCAGATGATTATAAACTTTAAGTTTTTAATTTAAAGTTTAAGTTTATAATCATCTGCTGATGATGCTAACATGGTTAGCGAAACGCGCGTCCAGTGTAAAAGTAAAAGTGTTTTGGGCCATTGTGGTGATTTAGTGTTTTATTTTGCTCTTTTTCATAATTTGTGTATATATGATAACCAAGTTCCTATTTCTTATTTTTATTAAAAAAAATTGTGCAATGATGTATACATATCACACACATATATACATATCATCACATATGATGAATACATATCAAATGGGGAATGAATCGTAACATATAAAATATTTCTTTTTCGAAATATCTAATGAGAAAGAAATAATAAGAGTTTATTAGATTGGACTATCAAAGTCTTCCGTCCTATATCAATACCTTGATGGATTCGACTTCTGAGAAATGAGATTTTTGGCTCGACTTTAAAAGTTGCTAGAGATATAAGGTGAATGAGATATTTTTATACATTCTAAAATAGTCTCGGTAACTCATTGATTGAAGTTGTTTTCTAGGTTTTATGGTCCCCTGTTTCTCAACAAAAATTATGTTTCAATGAAAAATTAGTAGAGCACGAAAACAAAAAAATGAGAAAAACACTGAAGTAAATACTGATGCAGATGTCAGCAATATCAGCTAAGCAAGTCAACAGTATCTACAAATCTAAGCTTATAAATAAGAGCTGACAAGTCAAGTGTGTTAAAAATATTTTAAACGCTTTATTTTTATTTCCCAAATATTTAATTTCATATTATTTTGCTTCACTTTTAAATCTATAGATGTTAAAATATGTTTTTAAGTCAATAAATTAATGATAGATATATGTCCCATGAGAAGTTCCCGAGGAAGTTCCTCAAAAAAACTGAACTATTTAAAAAGATCATTATTTATATTAATACATCTCAAAAAAATAACAATTATATAATCATTATGTAGATGTTTTAAATATAACTTGTAAGATCTAGTAACGTAATATAAAAATATCAACTTACATTTCCATATCTTTGACTTTCACTACTTTGCCAAACGTTCCTTCGCCCAGAGTGCCAACAATTTTATCTGCAATTTAACAACAAAAAGAATGAGCAACCTTCTTACTCAAGGCAGATTACGAAGCTTGGTTTCATTGATACGCCGAAAACACCTGTGTCTATTATTCGTTTAATAAAATATTTCACTTTTAATTACAAATCGTATTATTTTTTTCATTAAGAAATAAAAATATATGGGAGCTATTTGTATAAAGAACATAAAGCTTTATTTTTCTTGATGATTTGACGGTATTTTAATACATTAGTTGGTTTTTTTAATTTTGAAATATGTAAGTCAGACAGACTGTTCAAATTATTTAGTATATCATAATAGATATAATAAATGTGGTAACATACCTCAAAATGTCTTTAAAAATAAAAGATATAATAGGTCTATACTTAAATACGTCATATATTTAAATAATTTACTTTCTGAGAAATAAAATAACTTAAACTTGGTAAGAATCGTTTTATAATATCTATCAAGCATTTTAACACTAAAATGACTGACAGCTAAAAATCTCTATTTAGTTTTTAAATGGCAGAACAAATTATCGGAAAAGTTGTTATTGGCTCTTAGAACAGTGCTGAACCCACTTTTTGATTCCAATTTAGATTTTTATTAACTTGTTTTAGCAGCACACTTATTAGTTAAATATATGTGATGCCAGTTATTTCCCCTATTTATCTGAGTGATATAATCCTTAATGATGACCTCTAAATACACACACAACTTAGATTTCGATATTTTTGAAAAATACACCCCCTCCGGTAGCTAATTAATTAAACCACATCCTCATAATAGAAAGCTTTAATTATCATCAGAAACAAGACAGTTTTACAAATAGCCCTTGAAAAATAATTTATTGGCATTTATATACCCGGCGCGTCTCAAAAGTGGTTCACCCCTATAAGTTTTTTATTTTTTCAGATAGAAAAACGAGCTTTGGTATGTTATTAGTATTTAACATAAATTAGGATTGATTGGCGTGTTCAATTGTTGTTGGTCACTTCCTGTTTCACCGGAAACGACTACAACTTTTGATTATTAAATGGCACCCTCGGTATGTTTTTACTTTATTCGATAGAAAATGTCACTCTGAATAGAATGACATATCATATGTCAACTTTTGACATTTTCGCATACGTTCTATTTAAAATTATAACATGGTTCATATCGAAAATTTGACTCGAAATGCCAAGTGTGTGGCATCAAATTATTCGTAAAAAAATGCTTTATCGAAATATGCTAATGAGTCACCCTCGTTCCATTTGAAAAAATTGAGTTATGATTGAAAATACGATTTGATCATCTTTTAACCGGCCAGGACAAGACACTAAAAACATTAGACGATCAAATCTATTTTTCCAAGGCCCCTTCATTAAAAATTAGTGTTTTAACATAGCCATGGCACTCTAGATTGAAATTTAAAATACGATTGTTTCTTAAGTGAGAATGTCAAAAGTTGACATGATATGTCAGAATGTCATTTTCTATTGAATAATGTAAAAAATTACCGAGGATGCCATTTAAAAATCAAAAGTTGTAGTCATTTTCGGTGAAACAGGAAGTGACCAAAAACAAGTGAATACCTCAATCAATACTAATTTAGGTCATATACTACCATACCAAATCTCGTTTTTTATCTGAAAAAATAAAAAAGTTATAGGGGTGAGCCACATTTGAGACACACCCGGTATATGTCATTAAATTTTAAGAGGTACCTACAATTCCCAATTCCATAACAACTAAAATAATTTCTTAGTACCATATGATCGAAAAAAACGGCGTCAAGTTCAAGCTTGACAATCAATGGAGATGACAATCAACATTCACAGATCTTGTCATAAAATGACAATAATCTTCATTTCCAAGCCAACTCTGACGCCATTTTTTCGATCCCATGGCGTGTTCCTGTTATGTATGTATTTAGATATATAAATAATACTGAAATGATGTCACATGAAAACAGATTTTTTCTAAGTTAATTTAATTTCTGTTTTAAAAATTATTAGTTTTGTTAATTTAATACATTTTAATACATACGATCATCACATAAATATTTGACTAACAAATAAACAACCCGATATTTTTCTTCTATCGCGAGAAACGACTGTTATTGGTTAAAAATAACTAAGAAATCAGTTTTCTAGGTGTATGTAACATTGAAGCAATAACTAACTTATTCAAATATTTTTCCAAAATTTGCCACCAAACGCAATATTTAGTGTTTTACTTACCCGAGTAATAGGTTATATTTTTTTGTTCGTTTTTAATCAAATTCAAATCAGAAATTAACGACAAACTTATGTTTTACCTATATCAATTAATTAAAACTCCTATATGATATCGACTTTACCTGTGCCACTGCATATTTTAAAATATCAACTTACTGTGAATAATACGCGTGTTCACAAAAGTATAATAATAACGGACAGAATCCAAATAACCATAGTATTATTTTTATTAAATTATGTATGAGGAAACCAAGCATCGCCTTCTAACCTAATATCGCTTAAACATAAATAATTCCATGCAAAAAAAATAGAATTAATCCTAAACATCTATTCGATAGAATAAAAACTACTTGTAATCGAGTGTGTCCAAATTTACAAGCAGTTTTATGAAAACGAAAAAATTTTGCTGGAACAATTTTTAAAAAGTTAATACGGAACCTATCCTTGTATCCTTTACGGGATTATTCAGAATTTCTTTTCTTGTCGTATAACATAATGTTCTTCTCAAAATTCGATGATGTAGAGAACATTCCACTCCTGTTCAACTAAGTATAATAAGAATAACTTTTTAACTTCAATACTGATGAATGATTCAATGATTCAATACTTCACCTGTACAAAATGTTACACGATAAACATAAATAAAATGTAGAATTGCTCTGATAAAAATGAAATACTTTTTCAATTATTAGTGTTTGTTTTTGTTCTTATTTATAAGTTATAATTTATGATCGAGCAGGCTTTGAATTTCGACAGTTAACAAATCTAATAATTTCGCTTAAGAACTGTTTATCTGTCAACTGATATGACATCAAGCATACTTGATCCTAAGTCAAACTATTGGATCATAAGATCATATTGTATTTGATATTCGATATACAGGGTGGTCCGAATTGTATTCCGGAAACTTTGGCAGCATATTCTGCAGATAAAAATAAATAAAAAAGTTCGTATAAATGTAGGTCCTAAAATGCTTACTTTCAGAGATACAGGGTGTAGAAGTTTCATTTTTATTTCGATTTTTTCCTAATAATTTCTGAAGTAACGTCAATATTATATTTAGATGAAAATTGGTGTCTGGAAGTTTTCTGATATGAGAAATTTGATTTTGATGTCAATATGACTCCTACTGGTAGAGGGCGCCACCTACATGTGTTTTAACTGTTTTGAAGCGTAATAACTTTTTGTCCGTACCTGTATAAAACTACCGAGCGAAAAAATATACATCTCTGTGACTTTTTACGTAAAAAATATCTCTTTGTAAAGATCCCTACGAGCAACCGTTCTTAAGATATTTAGAATGGAAATAGTCAATATATTTCATTATTGACGAAAAATAAATACGTTGAGTAAATAGTTATTTCACTGAAATAATAAATTTGAAAATTTTTATTTTTTTTAAATTAATCATAAATTTTTCTGCAAAAAATGATGATAAAACAGTTTCTGTTGAACTTTTGGCACAAAAATATTTCAAATTTATGATTTCAGTTTAATAACTATTTAATCAACATGTTTAACTAATGTCAATGATGACAGGTATTAATAATTTCGATTCCAAATATCTCGAAAATCATTACTCGTAGCCATTTTTACCAAGAGACGTTTTTTACGTAAAAAACGTCGTAAATGTATATTTTTTTACTCAGTAGTTTTATATAGGTACAGACGAAAAGTTATTACTCTTCAAACCGGTTAATAATAAAATATGTAGGTGGCGCCCTCTACTAGTAGGAGCCATATTGACATCAAAATCAAATTTCTCATGTCAAAAACCTCCCAGATACCAATTTTCATTCAAATATTGACTTTACTTCAGAAATTATTTTGAAAAAATCGAAATAAAAATGAAACTTCTACACCCTGTATTTCCGAAACTAAGCATTTTAGGACATACATTTATAGGAACTTTTTTACTTATTTTTATCTGCAGAATCTGCTGCCGAAGTTTCCGGAATACAATTCGGACCACCCTGTATATAAGGTATCGCAATCTGTAAATGTTGGTCTTACAAATGCATGTCACTTTACTACATACAACTTGTTATGCCAAAAATAAAATAAATATTTATTAATTTTCAACGTCATTTTTCTCGCCAATATAAATTTATTGGCAAAAATAACTATTCACTCCTATTCAAAAACAACATTCCACTGAGTAAAATATTTACTTAAAAAAAACTAAATAAAATAATACTTTAAACTTTAAATGAATGTTGTGTATATGTTACGGTTAAAGTCCGATGTCCAGAATGTCGACATTAACATGTTAATGTTTGGGTTACGTTATGTTTTTAGTTGTTTTGTTGTGTGTTATTCTCGAGATTAACCGGGTAATGTCGACATTAACCGGACATCGGACCTTAACCGTAACATACATATATACGTTCAAAAAATAATATTCTTCGGTACATTATACAACATTATAGTAAAATGACTGGTGATAATCATCATCTGATAAGAGAATATCAGTAGAATCAAAGGTAGAATGTGCTCTTACTAGTCGAAATGTCATTTTAAAGTGTTTTGTATAAACATTTAAATAATAAAAACAATTGTAGTCAAAGGACATTTCATTGCATATTGGATACAAGTAAAATTATTTAATTTTTCAATACTTTCGCATGTTTTCTATTAGATCAGTAATCTTTTAAGAAATACAGCAACTTTGCAGACAAACAATTCTTATGAAATTTTCGTTAGTTTGTTTAATTGTCGACTTCCGAAAACCAACTGAAACACTAAAATTTCTGACTATACGAGTACAATATATCCGAATATTATATTAATAAAAATAAATAAATTTGACTGTTTTTTACCATAATTCTTTCTTTTTAGAAACAATTGTAATTCTTTTTTAAACAGATATAATGAAACCATTAATAGATCGTGTGAGAATAATAAAATAGGATAGTTATAAAAATATTATTTCAGTTCGAGCTTTCTTATGTATATCGCTCAAATTACTGGCAGTTTTTGTGATGACTTCAATAGCATACCAACTGTTATTGCCAAGAACAGTTTAAGCAAAATTTGAACGGAAATGATAATATTATGCCTACTGTGATATCAATTTCATTCGATCATATGACATTGTTAATATCTTTTAAAATAAGTACTGTAAAAACGCTAGCCAGTCGAGAGTTATATGGAGTTAAATTTTATTAAACCGCCAACAAAAAAAAAGATATGAAAATTCTAAATTAAATTAATATCTCCCTTAATGCAGAACCAATATACAGGTTGTTCTAATATTCCACAGATATAGAAGCACAACGTGTGTTTGGAATCAAAATAAGTTTACCCTTCTCGTATATAAGTTTAAATCAAGCAAAAAAAGGTCAAGTTTAAAAAAGCATTTAAAAGGTCTTTTCAAGCACTTTAAAAACAGTCATATTCATTTTCTTCGAAAAAAGTGTTCTTTCGCCATTGTTTTACGGTAAAAGTATGCAATTTTTAGTTTTCGAATAATAAAAAATTACCTGTACAGAGTAATAACTCAGCTATTATTACACCTACGGCAATCAACAAAGAATGAGTCGATTCGCTATTCCTAAAGCTTAATTTTTGCTTTATATGAGATTTGCGATTTTCGAGTTACTTATAAAAAATGGCAGAAAAATTGACCTAAATGACCTTGAATCTTAAATAAGTCGGAAAATATTAATTTTCTGAAAAAATGTTATAGAACATTTTTTCCTTAGAATTCACCCCTTTATTAGTTTTTGCAATTAAAATGGGTGATTTATTTTTCACACCCGGGAAGTGGTGGCACTCGCCCCGAAGGTGAAAGCACACATTATTAATAAGTTAAATTTTACACAATCTATTAACTACAGTATGTCCCCGGATTGTCTTTACAAGAAGAAACGGTTTTTATTATTGACATTTTGTAAAAAATGCATTCTTCATAAAAAAAAATTTGCTTCTTCTAAAATGGCAAATTCCGTTTATACTCTTCCAAATATCCATACCGCTTTAGAGAAAATTAAAAAAAAATATGAAAATATAGTTGAATTTTACATAATAAGATCATGATAAGTTCTAAGAATCGAAACGCGTTTCTATGGTAATATAATTTCGGTTTCATTCTTCACTGTTATTGATTGAATTTTAATTAGTCATATTTTTTACTGTTTTAAAATGTTAAAGAATCACAAAATTTATTTGGTTCAGTGCTATGGAAAAGGTGATTATAAATTTTGTGCTTGGTTTAACTAAAATAGCAAAAAATAGCAATGACGTTAATTAAAATTAATACTAACCATCTATCAAAGAATGAAAACTAAATTATATTACCATATAGAAATAAATTCAACTAAATTTTCATATTTTTTTTTAAATTTTCTCTAAAGCGGTATAGAAATTGGAAAAGTATAAATGGAATTTACCATTTTAAAACAAGCAAAAATTTTATGAAGAATGCATTTTTCCCAAAATGTCAAGCAGAAATGTTTATCACCTTCAATGCCGCCTATTTTGTTTTGTAAAAAGGTCTTCATAATAGCAAAATAAAACACTAAATCGCCACAATACACCAAAACACTTTTACTTTTACACTGGACGCGCGTTTCGCTAACCATGTTAGCATCATCAGCAGATGATTATAAACTTTTAGAGTTTAAGTAAAAGTGTTTTGGTGTATTTTGGTGATTTAGTGTTTTATTTTGCTGTGTAACACCAAAGGTTCCAACCCTCCACTGTAGTCTTCATAATATTAATATAGTATTAGCATTTTATCGTATTATTTTGAGATTTTTTTCGTTTCGAGCTGGACCTAAAAAATACTTCTTGTCGGGTTAAGCGTTAAAATCTAGTATGCGAAATTACTCTAGTTGGTGAAGATGTTGAATGTTGGTAGGGTCATAATCATTTTTGATAACCTTCATACATTTAAAATCAATTAACGGTATAGTTTTGATAGTCGCCCTTTTCTGTTTACATATTTTGATTCCAAAACTGCATAGTAGTTATATGTCCACGGTATCTTGAGACAACCTGTATACTAACTTTTGATGAAATTTAGATATTAAAGTATGTACGAATCAAGACAGCATTCAAACAGAGTAGATTAATGCTCAACTAATTAAATGATAATGTTTAAAATAATCGGACATTAAAAGATTTAACTAGTAAGTTCTACAATCGATTCATGTCGCCTTTCTGGTTATTTTAGTACCCTAAGTCATAATTCATACATACTGTCAAATGTCACATTATTGGTATATTTTTTTTTAATGGGAGATTTAAAACACTAGTTCACCACAATACACCAAAACACTTTTACTTTTGCACTGGACGCGCGTTTCGCTAACTATGTTAGCATCATAAAAACCAAACACAGTTTTAATCATCTGCTGATGATGCTAACATGGTTAGCGAAACGCGCGTCCAGTGCAAAAATATAAGTGTTTTTATGTCTTCTGGTGAATTAGTGTTTTATTTTGCGGTTTTATTTTAAAAACACCAAAGGTTCCAACTCCCAACTGTAATGGGAGATTTGCTACCTAATATACTAGAAGGATATTAGAAAGCAAGTTCCTTTAGCAATTTTGTAGGTATAAATTTCAAAGAAAAATGTATGTAAAAATAATGTATAACGAACTATAATATACCGGGTGCGTCTCAAAAGTGGCTCACCCCTATAATTTCTTTGTTTTTGCAGTTAAAAAAACGAGGTTTGGTATGTTAGTATATGACATAAATTAGGATTGATTGACGTATTCAATTGTTTTCGGTCACTTCCTGTTTCACCGGATATTACAACAACTTTTGATTTTTAAATGGCACCCTCGGTATTTTTTTTACTTTATTCGATAATAACTAACACTCTGAATGGAATGACATATCATATGTCAACTTTTGACATTTTTGAATATGGTTTATTTGAAATTATAACTTGCGGTACGTAACGAAAATTTGGTTTGAAATACCAAGTGTGTGGGATCAAATTATTCGTAAAAAAATGCCTTTTCCAAATATGCTAATGAGCCACCCGCGTTCCATTTGAAAAAATTGAGATATGATTTAAATACGATTTGAGCATTTAACTGGCCAGGACAAGACACTAAAAACAATAGACGATTAAATCTATTTTTCTAAGACTCCCTGATTAAGAATTAGTGTTTTTAACATAACCATGGCACTCTAGATTGAATTTTAAAATACGATTTTGTCTTAAGCAAAAAAGCGTTTATGTCAAAAATTGATATATTATATGTCATTCTATTCAGAATGTAATTTTCTATCGAATAAAGTTAAAAAATACCGAGGGTGCCATTTAAAAATCAAAAGTTGTAGTCATTTCCGGTGAAACAGAAAGTGACAGAAAACAATTGAATACGTCAATCAACCCTAATTTATGTCATATACTAACATACCAAATATCGTTTTTTTATCTGAAAAAATAAAAAAGTTATAGGGGTGAGCCACTTTTGAGACGCACCCGGTATAGTTCGTTGGGCATATAGTTGGAAAACTTAAAACCAATACATATATTAATATGTCTTCATGAAAAATTTATAAATCAGAAAAAATGTGCTATGTAACAAATTTTTGATATACATGACGTCTCATTTAAACAAAATCCAATTTGTATCAATAACTGTGGCATTTGACATCGTATACCATTCCGTATTAAATTAATTTAAACAGTTGAACAAGAGTCGAAAATTTATCGACACCAACGAATTTCGAGAAGCGCTCTTTAATTTAATTATATCAAGCGGTATTCACACACATCGATCTTGTAGGATGTCTCCTGATCGGTAAATTAGGTGGCCTTCATCGTCATCTTCCAAAGAGGACCCTCGAGAGCTCTGTATTGCCGGCCCGTCATCAACATCGTTGTCCAATCGTGTGGCGTGGTCGGTATTCGGGTGGCGGGCGCAGTCGTCCAACGGTCATCATCGTCATCGATTGGGCGGCGTCGAGCAACGGCGTGGTAGAGTGTCATGGTCATCGTCAAAGTGGCAACAGCGTACGCAAGGTTGATAGTGGCCCGACAAGCAAAGACAGAGGCAAACGGATTGCCAAATCAACAATCGTTTTCTTCAAAATGGCACACATAATAGATGCAATTATATTGAGGCATATGTGGCATCAGAAATATTGTACGTTTTAAATGAAGTTTTATAGATAATTTATTGAATGAAGCAGCAGTGATCAAAATGACAACAGTTAAATATACCTATTATAAAAAAAATAGCAAATCAAATTTGACAGACCAAGCATATCTGTATTATGATATCAAATTTGTCACGATTAAGATGTAGATCATTTAGAAAAAAACTATATTAAAGCGTGGTTGACAAGATCAAAGTGGACTTGGAATCAAGTCAACCGGATGCTGCCATATAAATATACTTAAATCGACGTTGCGCGCGTCTCACGTTTATACTGTTTCTGTGGTATCAAAATTGAGTTGGAAGGTTTCGTAGTATTCAAGTAAGTTTGCAGCTAATCTACTTACTTTGATGTGAAAAAGTCTTCCAACTCGAACTGGATAAAACAGTCAATAGTCAATACTATACAAGCAGCGTACAAGACTCGCGCAGCACTATTATAAGTACAGTTATATGGTAGCAGCGAAGTGTACTTGGTCTAAGTACATTCGGACCGTGTCAACACGCCTTAAGGACAGTGTAAAAAAGCATAATTAATTATGAGATATCTACAATTTTATTTTTGTTTTGACTACTGTCTCTTACTGTAAAGACAGCGTCAATTATAACAAGTTGTTAAGCCCCGTCTACACTTAATGTCTTTACCTTACGTCTTACATGTTCAAGCAAAACGTATCAAATAAAACGGACGGTTTTACTTGAGCTGAGTTAAGACGGAAGATCGTGTAGAGAACTGACAGGATCAGTCAGTTTTACAACAAAAACTGTCTGTCCTTTTGCCTACACTGAAAATAAGTAAATCTAAAAAAAATAATACGGACACATAATAATACATGGTTCGGGAATAGTGCGTCGAGCATCTGTAGCTCCTAGAATTAAAAACTCGGGAATTTTGTTTAAGTGCAAACCTAAAGTATGTACTAGGATGTATTTCAGGAAAACATTTTAACTTCTATAGGGTGACCGGGATATAGGTGGATCGGGATAATTTTTTTGAAACATATTTTTTATTTATTGTTTAATTTCTCTGAAATTATCGAAATATATTTACTCATGTCTTAGGATAAGGTAAAGTGATCTGAAAAAAGCCAAAAATGTACTAATATATAAGGTGTTACATTTAAAAAGATCATCCCGATCTACTCACACTTGTTTGAGCCACCCTATAAAAGTTAAAATATTTTTCTGAAATACATCCTCGTGCATACTTTTTAAACAAAATTTCCAACTTTTATATTCTAGGAGCTACAGATGCTCGACGCACTATTGTCGGACCCTGTATTAAAAGTGATTTTTAAAAAACTGATATTTTGCATAGTTTTACAAAATAAAGTAATTTTACAAAATTGTTCAGATATTTAATGATTATTATCAAACAACACTATTTTCACACAATTAGCTTTGCCTGTTTACAAATGAAATTTTTTAAACCATAAATTCAATTTTGTAGTAAAATCCCGTAGTTTAGTCTTTTCAACTTTACTAAATATTTGAATCGCCTAAATCATCTTACAACTAGAAAACCATCTAAAGAACTGTCGTCAGTTTTCTAGATTGTTTTCCATATTAACTAACAAGAATAAAGCGTTAAGTGTAGACGCAGCTTAAAGGCCAAAAGAAATTCCCTTAAAGACAGAGAAATTATTGCCTGTTAATGAACAGAATCGGATCAAAAATATGTTTTTAAGATATTGACTATATTCATAACCATACGACATGATGAGTATAAATGATTATAAATAAATACTAATTTGGCCTATCGATATGAAAATGTCTTTTTGAGTATATCTCTTTCAACCTGTGTAAAATTTTTAAAACGTAATGCATTCAATTTTGCTTTTGTTTTCCATTCGATTTAAATCAAAGAAGCCTTACAGAGAAAAGCCATGAAAGTGTTTTTTGTACAAAAAATTACATCTTAAGAGCTCAAACGCACTGACGGTCAGGTCGCAGCGGCCAGCCTGCGACCACCAATCAAATGATACAACGCGCACTAGCGTCCTGGCCGTTGGCTGGTCGTTGCGACTTGGCCGTCATGTCAGTGCGTTCGAGCTCTAAGATTCAACTTAGGACTCTATTATGAATTAGATAGCCTCACATTTCATAGTAGAGAATAATTTAAAACCCAAGTATAACAAACTCTAAGGTATTTTTAAAAGTAGAATAATTATTTGTAATTTAATGTTTTTCCTTTTTAGATAGTAAAATGTATTACAATCTAAAAATATTATATCAATATGCTCTATGAACACTCTATCATGATACAAATTTGAAGTTGTTCATAGCCCAAATTTACCTTACTGGGTTGCTCAGTCCTATAGTATAACTCTTAACTATGTTTTGTAGATTTAGATCATAAAAACACTATGTTAGAGTTAAAGAGTGTGCAGTCAAATTACTTTTTAAATCAATTCAATAAGAGATCCATTTTTTCCTAAGAACATAAACTCACCGGCACGAAAAACAGGCACCTTAAAATTTTGATGATTTTTTTAGCAATATGTAGCTAAATTATTTGACTTTTTGGTGCCTCTTTATAAATTAAAAATGAAAGCATCTGCCAATTATAGAAGGGAAAACAAAACGTTGATATTTTGGTGAAAGTTTGAAACGCCCTTTGGAATATGTTAAGACCACAAGGAATTTAAAACTCACTTTATCATCTAGATACATCCTTTTTCGACAGTTTCTTTTTTTGTTCATCTCAATAGCTTTATTTTTATTGGAGATATTCACTTTTGAATAAGAAAGTAACGATTTACAGCAATTTTACCATTGAAAGCATGCCTTTGCTTTTGGGTCTTCATCAACGCACTTCTAAAATAGTCTTTATTGTTTTTGTAATGTCATTGAAAAGTCATATTATTATTGTTTATTGAGGTTTACTCTACTAGAGATGGTTTTAAGTTCTGAAGCATCAGTTATAGGTGCTTTAATTAATTCATCATGGCAGAGTTCAACTTTTGGATTTAAAACCATCTCTGCTAGATAGATAACTGCCCAACAGACAATAATAATATCATTTAGAAAAATATATAAAACGGTGAGTGTAGTTTCTCAAATACAAATTCCTGAATCATCAAATCAAGCTTAACGAAGTAAACTGAAGTAATACAATTATTTAATTCTCAGCAAACGAAAAAATGCTTTTTGAAGGATTTGAAAGAAGTTTTTAATTAATTTATTTAATTAAACAAACCTTGCAATGGTTAACCTTGCATTTAAAGAAGGAAAGTACCTTTGTATTGTTATACAGACCGATGGTACCGATCTGTTAAAACTAATTTAATCTAAATCTGACAGAAAAACAAAAGCATAATAGAGCGTAAAAATAATTTAATTTGTTTGTAATCGGCATTAGAGTATTTTGGAGAAACAGATATCATTTATTAAAGGGCGGAATCATTATAAAAAAGAAACAAATTTCTGTATGACACATCATTATCGAATAAGATAATGAGAAGTAAATGTTACTTTAAAACTGTAGCATAGTTAGGAATTTTAATGTGTATTTTTTGTAACATCAAGAAGAAACCACCAATCAATCAATAACAGTATAGTATAACTTCTGGAATTATTTTTTAATATCTTCTTTCTAATTCATAGAACATTTTAATCCAACAGAATTCTTCTTGACGTTTCAAAAACAAAAAAAGGATTATTTCAAAGCGCCATGCAGGTTAATAATAAAAATGTACATCAAAATTAATGTGAATATATGTATTTATTTATTAGGATAAAGTGTTATAGAGGATAAACATACAGTATGATATAAAAACTTATATAGTTTTATTACTAAAAAAATGCTGTAATTTTTTGTACTAATATATGGTCACAAAAAGGTGTCGGATCTGTAAATCTTCATCATATATTTAATTTACGGTTTCGTGGATCACATTTTATTATTCAATTCAGTTATATAAACTTAGATATATTATTTTATGTACTTTCAGAAATGAGTACTTCTATTTGTTACCGTTTTCTTACAATTTTAAGATGAGTAGATCAGCTTAAATATAGAGGTGATTCAATGTTCTTACAAATTTTATTTATTCCAACTTCCACCAACGCTTTCGTGATTATACAATGATTTTCACTGTCAACCTTTAGTAACTGTTACCGTTGAATGAAGAAATAAGAAAATACCCAACGGTATGGGCGATTTCCTGGCACAAAAATCCGTGTGTAGCTGTCCGAGATTTAGTTTAGCTCTGCGCCGCTGCGCGATGATAGTTGTCTACAGCGCAGCGAATAGAAAATACTATACTGTAGTTCTACTTGCAGTCGACAAAGTGGGCGGTTGCCGGAGACAGTGTTGCCAGAACTACAGATTAATTCGTAAATTTACGGATTTTGGGTTACGTTACGTTAATAATACGGATTTTCTATTGTTAAACAATTTGATAAATTATATGATTAAACAAAGAACGGTGTCAGAGTTGGCTTAGATATGAAGATCGCGGTTATTAATATAACGCATATGTAAAATATAATGATGTATGTCAATAATCGTCATTTCCAAGCCAAATAAACGACTTTTTTCGATCATACGAAATATTCAGTACCTATAAAAGAATTTTTATTTTTGTTGTTTATTCTATGTTTAATACAAATAAATTTTCAATACATAAAGGCGGATTTTTATCCAAAAATATTTTCGTCAAACATATTACAGATATTACACATTTTAATAA